GAAATTCACTTACTGCTCATGAAAATCCACTTACCACTGGTAAGTGGGTAAGCGTTAATTTTGAGGCTTGAGTAATTACATGTACATAAGTAGCTTAGCTGACCTCTCCTCTATGTGTACTTGTACACTCTGTCACTGTCCTATGATATTAGCATCCTTGTGCATGGTCTGAAAAAAATGTTCAGCGCCCGTTTTTTTTTCTGTAAAACTACTGAAGTGTGATTAGTAGGTTTCATGAAATTGAATATCTTTTTGGTTTGAACTCCAATAATTAAAAGATTTTGCATTTATATTGTTTGATAGAAATTATTGAGCTTTGCAATCTGTTGATATCCCACCCTCCAAGAAAAGAAAAAGATTTTACCCATCTCAAGCTGACTATGCCATGCATACCTTACATACAGAACAGTTGTTCAGATGTTGGTATGCACTTTTATGCAATCAAATTTAGAAAATAATTAGGAGGCTATTCTGTGTTGGTTTATTTGGATGGTACTTATTTGGTAAATACTTTAGATTGATGAAATATAATGCAGGCACTTTACTCGTTCATCACTTGAACAAGACTTAGTGGTCAAGTGGTGCAGTTCTGTTAACACTAGTTCAGAACAATGATTCACTTGCAAGATATACTTTAAACAGAACTAGTGTCTATGAGTGCATTGGAAGGAGGTGAAGGAATTGGATGTTCTATTCCACGAGGTGAATGGGACGTTTAACCTGTCATCTCAAGAAATGATCCTTTCTATTGCACAAATGTGACATAATCATTATTGTTTTATACGGTGCCTGAATAAATCTTCTTATTGTTCAAAGCATTGTTTTCTTTTCTCTATTCCAGCATAAAATGAGGACAAGAAGTTGTTTTCCTCTGAATGAGTTCCTACTTTAACACATGTTCTGGGGCGTCTTGCAAAGTCCTCTTATCACGTGTTTAATTTGGTTCTTCATGTTAGAAGCATCAGCATCTTATATGCGTTCTGAAATTTCCTCATCAGTGAAGAGGGCTGGAGCTTCATTTTCAGCCTTAGCTTCCTGCCATTTTGTGTGAACGGCTGCGTTACGGCTCATGCCGTCTACAGAAGAACTGTGTGTAGCCCAAGTGAGCATTTTGCCTTTGACCAAAAGGAGCTCCTGCGTGGTTCTGTTGCACTATTTCTGCAGTGTGCATGTGCAGTGCATAAGTCTGAATGTTTCATGTGACATGATCTGGAATTCACCAACCAGACTATGGGGATTTACTCTGGCACTGTATTACAGGCTCTAGTTTGGGGCCCAGGAGATGCCTTGGTTGTTAATTCCTGAGTACTTTTCTTGATGAGCAGATATTGAGGAAGATGTCTCCTACTTCCATGAAGATCACCCACCGACAGCTGACTCTAGGAGCTAGTATGAGCCTACAGGATGTGTTACCTATGGAGCTTCGGATGGCACACGGTTGTGTTGTAAGTAATGCTTCATTCTTTGTCTTGTCAACTTATGTATATTTACTTGAATATTGGGTCAGTGTATGTGTACTTAAATACCAGGCCAATAGGTATGTACTAGAGTATTAAGCCAGTGGGTGAGTACTTGAGTTCCAGGCCTGTGGGTGAGTACTTGAGTTACAGGCCAGTGGGTGAGTACTTGAGTACCAGGCCAGTGAGTGTGTATTAGTGTACCAGGCCAATGAGTGTGTACTTAAGTACTAAGCCATTGTATGAATTCTGGAGCACCTGACCAGAGGGTGTGTATAATATTTTACTAGGCCCCACCAGGCCTGTCAGACTTCAACGATATGCATCGGGCATGACATGTCTTGTACATGCTTTAGGCCATGCCTCATGTTAGGCCATGTTCAGCTAGTATGATATGTTCATCATCAGACTGAAGGATTGAATTTGATGCACAGCTTTCCTATGAGGAATGTTATGCCACTTTTCACCCCGGTCTGAAAATAAAGTATCTCCTGGTCTTAAACTTCCATGGTCAATGTATGGTAAGCAGGCTGTGTACACGAGGAATCCCCAAATGGCATGATGAAACTATTCTTGTCTATCACCTTAATTTAATTGCACACCTGGTAACAATGTTTCAGTCCTCATGTCCACATATCCAACAGTAGAACTTTGGAAAGCAAAGAAAAAAAAACAGTACTTGTATACAGATCAAACTACCCAAGACCTGAAATTAAATTCAGAGTGTTTTAATAAAAGTGGATATTTGCAAAGCGTTCATGAACTCTGATGTTCATGGCGCTGTAAATTTAATACCAGATTTAACAAAGAAGCAGTCATAACGGAAAACAAATGTACAACCAAAAGCAATACAATAAAGGAGGTGAAAACTGGTGAATTTTCAGTGTGTCTAAGAAGCTTATCTGATGTAAAGAGATAGGCAGGTCAGTGGGGCCAGTGTATGAAAATGCATGTTGGCCACAGGAGTGTTTGGTTCTGGGTATCCAAAGGATGTGTATGTATTAGAAGATGGAAGGCTGGTTTGTGTGGGTTGGGGGGTTTTGAAGATTGATAGAACAAACAAGTGGCCAACTCTGACCGCCTGTATGGTGAATCATAGTACATTTAATATCTGCTGTGTAAGAGAAGTGAATCACCACAGTGCACCACCAAGACATTTGGCTTGAAGGGACCACTTTTCAACTTCAGCGTTATCCTGCATATCTGTATTTATATCCGCAGGGAATCGTTCATTTGACTTTTCGTCAATGTTCACTTGCAGTTCTACGCAAACACGAATGTGCCTGATAGCCTCATAAGTAAACTTGTGATTATTCACTCGTACAAAATTGTTGGAATGTGTATTATGCTTGTTGAAACGAAGTCACGTACCCTTGTGCATAATGAATGCCATTTGGCATATGTATGTCAACTTTTGCCATAAGGCACTGCTAAAAGTAACCATCCACTGAGTTGCCCGTTTGTGGTGCATGGTTCAGTGAATTGCTTCCATACAATGAGACCACAGGTGAAGTATGTTGACAAACTCATGTGCAACAATTAGTGATTATTCAATGAACTTGATCCGCTTTTCGTTTTCATTATATCATGCAGAGGGGCAAGGATTTCTATGAAGGGGTCCGAGCTGTGCTTGTGGATAAGGACAACAATCCTAAATGGTCACCTGACACCCTAGAGGGGGTGACAGATGACATCATAGAGGATCACTTCCGTCATCTTGATGACAGTGAATTGATTTTATAGGACATCACCGTAACGCACATTTACTGGATATTTCTACAATTATGTGCCATATGAACAGAGGTATATATGTAAATCAAAATGTTTTTATCGTGATTACAGACTACGAGGACTGACAAAGATTTGAAACTTACACTAAGGCCCTGTCTCAGTTATTGGGTATAAATTCGTTTGTGAATGCTGTAAGAGATTCCAGGAAGATCCTGCATATGTCTCGTCTGAGTATCATCGTGCGGCTCAGAAACGACACCTGATATATGCAACCCTTTGTGCTATCCAGTAAGAGCCAACTGTAGAGGCTGTGATGTCATGTGGATCAGAAACCTGCTAAATGTTTTTGATCAGATGATAGGTGTCAGCCAACTGACAGATGAGTCGCAGATCAGCTGATGATGCTCAGCCAACCTGCACTGCAAGCATGTTTTAGACCTGGAGACTAGAGTGTGCCTGACCTGCTTCTCTGTACATTGTAGGTAGCAAATACACAAATACGAACCAACATTGTTGCATAATTTAT